CACTCATACCACCACCAACCAGCACTCACCACCACCACCAGCAACAAACGCTCACCGCCACCCCACCACCAACCAACGCTTACACCACCCCAACAACATCACCCCCACCGCCGCAACAACGCTCCGCCACCACCCCAACAAGCAAGACACTCCACCACCACCGCCAGCAAAAAACACTCACCACCGCCAACAGCCAATACCGCTGCACCACCAACCAGCGTAAGCAAACCAACAAGACATCACCACCACCAACCAGCAAAACGCACCACCGCCAACCAGTCGCCACCGCAACCAACAACCTCTGCCACCAACAACAGCCGCTCACCACCACCTGCCAACAACCTCCACCACCACCACGCCAACCAACCACCCACCACCAGCCAGCAACAACACTCCCACCACCACAACAACCTCACCACCATCAAGCAACATCACCACCACCACCAACCACACAAGCCTCCACCTACCAGCAACAGCCACTCACCACCGCCACCAGCACACTCACCACCACCTTAATCGCCGCCGCCAACCAGCAGCAAAACACCGCCACCATCAACCGAAGCAACACTCCCACCACCAGCACCATCAACCAACCAAGCTCCACCACCACCACCTGCCAACAGGCCAACACTCACCCCAGCAAGCAATACACCCGCCCACCAGCAACCACCCCTCACCACCAGCCGCCAGCTCACCACCACCAACCAACACTCCAACACCACCAGCAAACAGCACTCCACCACCACCAGCAAGCAACCACCACCACCACCACCAGCAACCAGCACTCACCACCACCACCAGCAACGCTCACCACCACCACCAACTAGCCTCACCACGCCACCAACGACACACCACCACCACCACCACCAAGCAACAACCAACACACACCACCACCACCAGCAACAAGCAACAACGCTCACAACATCACCAACCAGCCACCAGCAATGACAACCTCCACCACCACCACAACAGCACTCACCACCACCACCAGCAACACAACCTCACCACCACCACCAGCAACCACCACTCACCCACCACCAACCAGACAATCACTCACCACCACCAACCAACACTCACCACCACCAACAGCATCAACCAGCACTCGCCACCACCAGCAACCTCACCACCCAACAACAGCACTCCGAACCAACCCACCACCACCTGCCAACCAAGACACCCCACCACCACCAATACATCAAGCACCACCCCGCAAAACGAAACCACCTCCACCACCGCCAGCAAACACTCACCACCACCAGCAACAGCACTCACCACCACCAACAAACAACACTCACCACCACCAGCAACAACACTCACCACCACCAACAACAAGCAAACTCACCACCGCAACCCAAGCCTCACCACCCCCACCAACAACAACACTCACCACCACCACCACACAACCAACCTCACCACCACCACAACAGCAACCACCAGCAACCAGCGCTCACCACCACCACCACCAGCAAACATCACTCACCAGCCAACCAACCCCACAACCAGCGCCACCACCACCACCAGCAACATCACCTGCACCAACCAGCACACTCCTGCCAGCAACCAGCTAGCACACCACCACCACCACCAGCAACAACCAACCTCCACCCCACCACCAACAGCTCTCTCCCACCACCAACAGCGCTCACCACCACCACCAACCAGCAGCAACCTCACCACCACCACCAACGACAAACGCTCGCCGCCACCACCGCCGCCAGCCAGCGCTCACCGCCACCTGCCAGTGACAGCAATGGCATCACGCCGCCACCACCAGCAACCAGCGCTCCACCACCTGCCACCAGCAACCCGTAGCCATCACCGCCAGCAACCAGCGCTCGCCACCACTACCAGCAAACAACACTCCACCCGCCAACCAATGGCACTCACCACCGCCACCAGCAGCAAGCACTCACCACCACCACCACCAGCAAGCGTAACGCTCCTGCCACCAGCAACCAGCGCTCTGCACCAGCAAACGGCCATCACCTGCCAGCAGCAACCAACATCACCTGCAACAGCCAGCTTAACCTCACCACACCCAGCAACCAACCAACCTCACCGCCGCCACCACCAGCAACGCCACCACCGCAACCATGGCTTAACCGCTCCACCACCGCCACCAGCAACCAGCCTCCACCGCCTGCAGCTTAACCAGCAACCTCGCCACCACCACCACCAGCAACGCTCGCCACCACCACCACCAGCAACACTCCACCTGCCAGTCTGCCACCGCCACCAACCAGCATACCACCGCCACCTGACAATGCGTGGCTTCTC